GCTGCTGATTCCTGCCTTCAGACTGTTTCATGCTCATGAGTCATATCCTCGTGTTTCACAGTTCTGTCTTTCAGTTCTCCTGATGAGTTTTTCTTCCTTTGCTTGGACTCTCTGTGTCTCCCTCTGCAGTGGTGGTCACTCTGGAGCCGTTAGTCGGAGCAGAGACCTACGTTAATGGGAAGCAGATCACAGACGCCGTCATATTAAAACAAGGTACAGAAACACACCCGGCAGCTTTAAACAAACAGGAAGCACCTGCCGTTACACGGCTGCTGCAGCTGTTACATCAGGTTTCCCTTTAGTTTACAGCTTATTATGCATCACATGAAAAACAAAGAAGGTTTGATCGATGGAGTAAATACACCACCCAAAACCTGCAGCCGGCCTCAGACTCTGCTTCCTGTCTGTTTCCGTCTCTAGGTAACCGCATCGTCATGGGGAAGAACCACGTGTTTCGATTCAACCACCCGGAACAGGCGAGGCTGGAGAGGGAGCGCAGCGCCACGATGGAGCAGCAGGAGGAGCCGGAGGACTGGAACTATGCCCAGAAAGAGCTGCTGGAGAAACAAGGCATCGACATCAAGCTGGAGATGGAGAAGAGGTAGACGTACCTTTACTACACCCTGAAGTTTGGGTTTCAGATAGCATCTCTAGACACACTGTAAACCACGTCAGATATCAGAGCTGTTGCCTGATTACTGATCATCTCATTGGTTGTTTGGTGTGTGTGTGTGTGCGTGTGCGTGTGTGTGTGTGTGTGTGTGCTGCAGACTGCAGGACGTGGAGACTCAGTACCGTAAAGAGAAGGAGGAGGCTGACTTGCTGCTGGAGCAACACCGACTGGTGAGTTTCTCCTCCACGTGAGCTCGTGTGGTGACTGCTTCTGGTGTTTAACCTTCTCTGTGTGTGCAGTACGCAGACAGCGACAGCGGGGACGACTCGGACAAACGATCCTGTGAGGAAAGCTGGAGGCTCATCTCCTCCCTGAGAGAGAAGCTGCCGGCCAATAAGGTACCAGCTCCTCGAGCTGCTCCTTCATAGCTCCTCATGTAGCTGTGACTTCACATAAAGACCTTAGTGGCTGTTCCCC